TCTTTTCTTTGCTTTCTTTTCCTCTTACCTTTCCTTTATTTTTATAGTTTCCATTTTTTTTCTCCTAACTTTTCTTTTGTTTATAACATTTCTTTTGTTTATAATAGATGGTTTCAATACTTCCTCTTTCATCATGTGCCCATTATATTCCCATATAATAATATTATACATACCTAGCTGATTTGGCATAGTGTACCTTTTCACTGGCATCAACTTGCTCTGACTGGATATCTTCTAAATCAAAATTGCATTCCCAAGCAATTACTGCTCCATCTCGACTACATGTATACATCTGATATTCAGTATAAGGGTTTTAATAGACTTTTCACTGAATAAGGATTGGACTTTTTCTTATGAGTTTTACAAATTCCAATTTTCTACAGCACTGCAAGCAATTTTTTGAAAGGGATATGTATGGATTAGTGTAAACCAACAACTTTATGGTGAAGACAGACCAACCTTATGGCATTTATTTATTGTCAATACATACCGTAATATTTTGTACTCTATCATATTATCTGTGGACTCAACTTGTTTACAATGAAGAAACAAGCTCCTGGATACAAACATCTTCTTTATCTAACTTAGGCCTGTCTACTCATTTTCCTTCTAATGCCCTTAAGTTGAGGATTACATAATAGAATGCTAGATTATATTTAAATAAAAACTACTGTACTGCACCATAAAAAGGATACATCCAAAGAATTATTTTCAAAAAACACACCAACAACAGCATCTTTGTGACCACCAACAGCAAACATAACAAGTTTGTCCAATTGTTGAGCAGAGTAGATACGTGCAGACATATCCAGTGAACCGACTGCAAATACTCTACACGAAAGTGTAATTCATAATAAATGTTCGCAATATTTCAATGATAACTGAGAGACATGTAAGTATAGCTTTACAAAAAATATGAGAAATTCCTTTTGGAAGAAATGGTTACACTTGAATGTGTAACCATTATACCTTGATCAGGAAGCTTTCTATAATGCTTTTTTTTAATTGGTAGAATACTTCCAAATACTTTTACTTCCAAACCTTATCGTTATTGACGGTCATGTATTGTTTAATGTGTATAACATTTTTTAATATGTAGGCGCTAAACATTTTTTTACATGACCATGAATGTTTTATTATGTTGTATAAAATAAAGGCATATGTCATAAGCATACCTGGAATCATCCGACCAGCAAGCACATGTGGTATCATCATAAGCCCCATGGTAAACATGTTGCAAAACAAAGGGGTTAAAGT